ATTCAAATGTGCTTGACAAACATTGATACTCAGTAGACGGTAGTGTCCTATGTGTCCTCTCATAAGCAGAGATTCTGGCGCCAGCACTGGGATCCAAACACCGCGTCTCATTGGCCTCTGCTTCTGCCAAACTGACTTTGAAGAGTGTCCGATGACCAGGAAAGGATTGAGCCTGCAAGTGTACTCTGCAGTTCTGGCGGTTTCACTGATTCACCAGAGTTTCTGAGCATGTTGATGCACGCTGGTCATAGGTTCCCAGCGACCCAAGCAACTTTTTCCAAATTTGATTCGATCCATTGAGTAATTGTGAGACTGGTTTGTGCCCTTTCCACTTGCAGGAGAAGCTGGCGGAGGATCTCAAAGAGGAAAACAGTCAATTCCCAGAAGGGCAAAAGTACTCTGGGAAAACACATAAATTACTGAAGCTACTTCATCCTCCTTAGCTATTGGACAGACCCAAAGCTTCTCCGTGCGGGGGCTGTGGACTTACTTAACTTCGGCAACACTTTACACAGCTTCGAATGAAATTGACTCCAGACTTCTCTGGCCCCCTGGATCAAACGAAAGGCCAGAGGCAGAGATAGCATTCGCAAGTGATTCTTGGGAATCGGCCAGGAGTGTGGATAAACAGCTGCAAGATGCTGCAAGCACAGTATTGCACAGTTTTCTTTCAGGGTCCCCCTCTTGGTGGATATAGAAAATATCTTGGCCCTGCTCTCACTGTCAATGCAGAACTGTATCAGAGCTGGTGCTCTCACCATCATTTGACTCAGCATCCTCGTCTTCCTCTTCTTCCTCGCCTTCCTCGTCTTCATCTTCCTCACTCTCGTCCTCAGAGTCACCTTCAGCATCTGTTCCGTCTTCGGCGGTTGCCACATCTTCATATTCCTCTTCTTCGTCCTCTTCGTCTTCCATATCAACTGCGTCTTTCATGGCTTCAACCTGAAAAGAGCAAAGGCACAAGCGCTTTGAGTGCTTTGCAAGATGGAAGCACCACGCCTGAAGCACAATCTGTTTACACCACCCCTCAAACATGCAAAGGATGCAACAGGACAGCACTTTCATTTCTGGCCGCCTTGTCCATGCAAAGCAAAAGCTCTGCGATTTCTGGCTTTGAAAATTTCTCGTCATGATCTTCATCGAACTCGAGGAATGCAGCCCGGTGTTGATCTGTCACTTCAGAATCCTGTGTCATATGCTTCAGAATGATGTGTCATGCAGCGCAATCAGAACAACTCAATGTGAACTCCTGTCGCTGTGACTGCTGTGACCCACATGGTGATCCGGCCTCTCCATCCTCGTCAAGGAATCGATACCAAGCCCATGACCTTGCCACGGTGAAAGTCAAAAAGTTCTCGGATCGAGCCACAAAAAGTCACATGGCAATGCGAGTACACAAACAAACTGTCCAAAAATCAACAATGCAAACAATTCAAGGGCTACTTTTAGGTTTCTGGACGCATTCATACATATAATGCACCTCCAGAGGGGATTTATGTGGAGCAGCTTCCAATGAAATAAGGAACAGCAGTCTTGAAATTGTGTTTGCGCATTGGTTAAATCATTGGTTTGTGTTTTTTGCATGTTTGATTTTGAATTGTTCCTAGTCTTCAGAATTACTGAGAGAATGAGCTTCCGACTCCGTTCTGTTCAAGGCTCCATCCCTTGACAAGAATGAAGCAGAGTCAGCAGAGTTGCAAACGATACGGAATTGAGGCAATCAGAAAATAATAGTTGTTTCTTGAATTTTCTTGAAGTGCATACAATGCGTCATCCTGAGTCTATGGTTTTTGAGCTTGTGTAGTGCACCGGGGAATCTAAAGTGAATCTGGCCGAGCAGCCCATCATGGTCAAAGTTTGCAAAGGTTGCTTCAAGTTCACGCTGTCTTTCAACATCAGCCTGTGAGAAACTGAAAATTGCATTGCACAGGGCCAAAAATTAAACGAGTGTTGAACTTGAACCCACCCGTATTGGATTGTCGGTGCTGTCTCAATATATTCTACTCCCACCAAGAAATTTATGGTGCATGTCGACCTTCAAAGCAGGAAAAGTATCCAAGTTGCTGCTAGCATCCTACTGGTTTGCTGGCTTGCTTTGGTTTGGTTTGGGTTGGTGGTTCGCTCTTCGCGACTTTGCACAAGATCGGCCTTGCCTCGCTTTTTCCCAGGAGGTCTCTTACAAACATTTCAGATGAGAGAGACCCTCCAAGCTCTCCATACTCCTGCCAGCTCTCAAGCGGCTGCCACGCTTAGGGTCTAAAAGTGATGGTGCCTCGCAATCCCTTAACTCATGTCATGACCTACAGTATGTGGGAGGGCAAGAATTCAGAGGGAACAGCACAGAGTACTCAGTATCGTTCAAGAAGCATTGAGCTTGACAGGATCCTGGGCTGCACTTGCAAGCACAGTGAGAAGCGGAGGGAGCAATCTTGCCTGCGGCTGTCGAAGCAGAGTAGCTAGAAGCAAAAGGATTGACATCACTCGGCACTCTCGTAGCAAAAGCAACTTGCATTGATTGACCACTTATGTGACTTGTGTATACTTCTCTAAGGCAGGGGAACTAAGGCTTGCACAAACATTCAAGGTTTTGCTCGGTCAAAGGCCAACACGGCCACAGCAAAGGCCTCAGGGCCTGTCAAGGCCAAGGCTGAGGCTCATCGACATCCTTGAGCCGCTTGAGCCTCTAAGCTGCAGCGCCCCAAGTGCCCCAAGAATGTCCAGAACATTGGTTATGCCATGGCCATGCCATGCAATGCCCAGTATCCAAAGAAGGCTTTTCTGCAAAGGTTCAGGAATGCAGCTCGTGTGTCTTGCAAGCCCTTGAGGTATTGCAAGTTTGCATGTAAGTCTATAAGTTTTGTAAGATGAAAACGTGGCAAAATGCTCCACAGTTCTCGCCATCGCAACATGGTGAACCAATGACCGCCTGCCGATTGGTCAGGACCACACGGGCTGCAGTTGGATGACACTCCAGCAAGCAAAAGGGAAGCGCTGACCTTGAGCAGGCGAGAAGCGGCAGAAGTGCGAAAGGCACAATAATTACAGTGTAAGTCAGTATATAGATGTATATAGAATTTATATGAATTTATAGAATGTCTGAATCAATGAATCTCAATGAATCAATGAAATGAACCTGGGGGATCTCGTTGAACAGCCTCCAAACACCGATGGCTGGACAGCTAAGCCGTCCACTGGCCCGGGAAGGCCCTGGGACACATTACTCGACAACTCCGGACTCTGCCTCATCCACTTCAGAGAAAGAATGACCGAGCGCAGCGAGTGTATGACCAAGTGCATGAGAGTGCATCCATTCTATTCTTGCAGAACGCAGAGGGATTGGTTGAAACAAAGTTTGGGTAAGACCTTCAATAGCTTGGTTGGAGATCGCCGTCTAACATCTGTCTTCAATAAGTCACGAACCAAAAATGCATACCCTTGGTCTCGCACCAAATTTCAGGAAATGCTCTTTTAGCTGAGCCTGCATCTTGGCCAAGTCTGTCCTGGTCAGGGTGATGTTCTTTTGAGCTCTTTTGGCTCTACCCTAGCCTACTTATACTTCTGTTGAGATCACAAAAACAAATTGTTCCTGCCAGCCCAATCACGAAGTGGGCCCACATAAACGCGAACCTGGTGTGTCGCAAGTGGTGCTGGGACGCCAATGCACATCACGACACAGGGAAAGCCTGTTTGGAGCACTCTGAGAGGGGCGCAAAGCGGGGCAGGTCGTTGAAAGCTTTATCCCGCTCTGCCTGTCCACAATAGTGCAGTTTGATACAATTCTGCACCCAATGCATGTTCAACCGCGCACTTCAGAAGCCGCGCAAAAAACAGCATGGATTCCAAACAAGGATTGGAGCAGAATGCGCTTGTGTTTACAGACCGTGCTGAAAACATGTTTTCGCTCCTGGGAGCCAAAGGTGACTGTAGCTGTTCCCAACCAACTTCCAAGCTCAGACTGCAGGTGAAAGCTCACCTGACATTGTGAAAAATCAAGCAAAACAAAAAGAACCGGCGGCGGTAAGGTTATGATACACCATGCGATTGTTGGACTTAACACAAGACAACCAAGAAACAATCGGAGCAACCCAAGTGTTATTCTTAGTGGCCCTGCGTGCATGCAATGTACCTGTACGTACAGCATGCCTGTGCTTGCATCTATGTGCTCCGATGTGCTCCGTTTTCTGGTCTGCGTGCGATCGTCCGTATGCATCTCTTGTCTCTCTCATGACACGTACCTCTGCACAAGTGCCATGCGCGAAGAAGGCTCCAAGTTCCTGCGTGCCGTGCGCTTTTCACAGTTTTAATGCAAGTTTTTCACAGAGCTCTAAAAACTGAGCCTTGGCTGCTGTCCCTTTCGGGATCTCACTCAGGAAAATCGTCTTTGGGAAAGAAAGCAACCTCAGATTGTCTCAGCGTTGCAAGAAAGGCATTAGGCACCTCACTGACTCCAATTTCTAGGTGTAGGGCTTGAGAGGCTTGGTCGTGGCAGGATGAATTGAAGCCTGTGACAAAGGAACGCAAAGCATCACAAGATGTCACAAGATGTCAAGATGTCACAAGATGTACATGATATGATACATAATATAATATAATATAATATAATATATACATGATTATATATGTATATACACAGCATCCGACAGAATTATTGAAAAAATACAATTGACAGGTGAGTTCCTGTCTATCACGGGAAAATTCTAGACCTTTTGTTTCCATACAGTAATTATGTTTTTCCATAATCATTTTTGTTTCCATAATTCTGTCGGCTGGAACACGTCCATCGATTCGCAGTTCGAATGCATTTTAAGGGGGAATATTGAATTATGGAAAATATGAATGTGTCGAAAAATCACGTATACGGTACGGTATACCCCCAGCAATTTCCAGCCTTTTGCCATTGGTTTTAAGCTATTGTCGAACTTATTTCAGCCTTTTTTCCATTGGTTTTCAGCAGTTGATCAACATATTTCAGCATTTTACCAAAGGTGTTCATCATGTGTTCAATCAATGTCATTGTGTTTAGCATTGACTTTCATCAGTTTTTTGATGTTTTAATTATTCTACCATTGGTTTCAAACAATTTCCCAACGTATGTCACCCTTTTACCACCATTGGTTTCAATCAATTGTCAAACCTGTTCCAGCATTTTTCCATTCGTTTTCACCAATTGATCAACATATTTCAGCATCGTGCCAATCAGTTTTTCAAACCTATTTGAATATGTTTAGCAATGGTTTTCGTCCGTTTTTCCTCCCGTTTTTTCGGAACATTTCAATAGGCGTTCTCTATTTAAAAATGCACTTCTGGGGCTTGATCTGACCGGCTACCCTTTTTTGGATGGTAATTTGTAAAGCATGTGTTCTTCCGGCTCTAGGTTTTTTGATGTTTTTTCCCCGCATCTTTGTGTGGGGTTCTTGTTTTTGATTCTGTGTCCCGCCCGGCCTCCGCCTCCTCCTCCCGCGCTGCCGCCTCACACCATCTTTCACACACAACTTGGTCCCACACCATCTTTCACCCACAACTTTGTCACACGCCATCTTTCGCGCACAACTTGGTCACACACCATCTTTCACATACAACTTTGTCACACACCATCTTTCACACACAATGTTGTCACACACTATCTTTCAACTTTCTCACACACTCGTGCAGGCGTGTCACTTATGGCACTGGGTGGCTCTGGTGGCGCGTTTGGGGCCCCTTGGTCGCGCGGTGACGCCGCGGCACTTTGCGTGGCAGGCGACATCTACCGTCGGTTTGCGTGGCAGACGTGGCACTTGGCGACATCTACCGTCGTTTTGGCGACATCAACCTTCGTTTCGCGTGGCAGGCATGGCACATATGGCACTGGGCTGGCTGTGGTGGCACGCTTGCGGCCCCTCGGTCGCGCGGTGACGCCGCGACACTTTGCGTGGCAGGCGTGGCACTTGGCGACATCTACCGTCGTTTCGCGTGGCAGGCCTGGCACTTGGCGACATCTACCGTCGTTTTGGCGACATCGACCTTCGTTTCGCGTGGCAGGCGTGTCACTTATGGCACTGGGCTGGCTCTGGTGGCACGCTTGGGGCCCCTTGGTCGCGCGGTGATGCCGCAACACTTTGCGTGGCAGGCGTGGCACTTCGACATCTACCGTCGTTTCGCGGAACTTATGGCACTGGGCTGGCTCTGGTGGCGCGCTTGGGGCCCCTTGGTCGCGGGGTGGCACCCTGGCACTTTGCGTGGCAGGCGTGGCACTTGGCGACATCTACCGTCGTTGTGCGTGGCAGGCGTGGCACTTGGCCGTATGTGAGCGCCAATGAACTTGTCGTTTCAGACCTTCCGAATAGTTTTTCTTCACATCTGTCTTTCAGTCCCATTCTTCCCGTGTGATTGCCAGGGGCCCATGAGTTGTCCGGTGTCCCACAAAAAACCGTGGCTTTGATGCTTCACAAGCATTCCGAACACATGGGTTAATTAATGTGCACCCATTGCGTCTGGTACGCAACGGTCGGAAAACTGAACCATCTGTATTGTTTTCGATTAGAACATGCATGAAACAGTGTGACGTGGTGTCTTTGCATTGTGTGTTCTGAACATGATCTGCCTTTACATCGCGCCCAGGTTCCCCTTCCATCTTCTCCATGGGCGGAAGACAAGCAGGGCCCCCACTGATGGGTTGTTAGCTTGATGTGTCATATGATGCTCTCCGATCTTCCTGCAGTAGCCTCATAGCTTTGACCCAACGTGGAAAGAAGCTCTTGCATCCTTTAATTTTGGTCGCTATGCGTGTGTGTGTGCGCTCCTGGGCCATGCAGAGCGACCTATGGTCATCTGTCACCCTGTTGATGGGTGGAAGCACTTGCATCGTTTAGTTGTGCGTCACTGTACATAATCTTTCTCACACATATATAACTGTGTCACACACACATCTTTCACACACAACTTTATCACACACAAAACTCTTCACATACAACTTTTTTAACTTCTCGATCCTCCATCACCTCCTTTGTCTTCCCTTCCTTCCCCGTCCCGCTGCAACTTTTGTTTCTCATTATTGGAAGAAGATGACTTGTGGGGTTATCCGGTCCCTTAATTCTATAGTTCTATAGTTAACTTTTCCCAGAAATGGTCATCCAGGAGTCCAGGATGACCAACCTACAACGAAAAGTACACGCATTTGTTGATCAGGTGCCCTGAAATATATTTCGTCATTTTACCATTGGTTTTAAGATGTTTCAAGCAAGTTTCCAAGCTATTTCAACCTTTTATCATTGGTTTTAAGCAATTGCCAATCCATTTCAGCATTTTGCCATTCGTTTTCAGCTGTTCAACATCTTTCAGCATTGTTTTTCATCAGTTTTTCAAATCTATTTCATTGTTGTTGGCAGTGACCAATTTCAAAAGGCGTTCTTTGTTCAAAAATGCAATTCTGGGGCTGGATCCGACCAGCTACTCTTTTTGGATGATATTTTGTGAAACATTTTTTCTTACGGTTCTAGTTTTTTCGTGTTTTTTCTATGA